TATATATATATATATATATATATATATATATATATATATATATATATATATATATATATATATATATATATATATATATATCGATTTGCGTAAAATGCCTACGAAGTGCGCCATGAAATTGAATGCATTAAGTTTAAGCATTTCACATTCAATACTTTGGTTTGATTTGATGGATTAATTAGTTAATTTAAAAAAAACAATGGGTAATTTTTTAAAAAATCTTTTATTTTCATAAATTCTCAATTAATGCCCTTTTTATTTATTCTCGTAAAATATTTTTTTCCTACAAGGCGATATTACTTCTCGTCTCCACCCCTCATCGTCTCGTCATCCTCATCTCCCCACCCCTTTTTCATTATCCTTGCCTCCCCTTCCTCATCGCCTCTCTTGCCTCTTCCTTTATCATCGTTCACTAACAACCTATCAATGTGTCCAGGTCTAACTCAACCTTCGCTACTACCCCTTCGCCAAAGTCAACGACGAGGGCGATGGGGCAAAACAAAGCCCTTAGTGACCTCCTTCCCCTCACTCTTGTTCGTCAAGTCCTCACCCCTCCTCTATTGTTACCATCGTGAGAAAGGAGGGTTTCATAGACGTATGGGGGCATGATCACCTTTGATTTTCTTATATCAATGACAACAACATTTCATAAGGTGGTGGTGGAGCACTTGTAATCGAAACTTGAGATAGGGTGATGATAGAGCACTTATGATCGGAACTTGAAAGATATGTAGAAGAGTAGGAGGTGTCGAAGATTAGTAGAGGTCGAGGATGATGACAACTTTGAGGCTAGTTCGCATAGGCCTAGGCCATGACTTCACCACAATTAGCTCACACAAGCTCAGGCCACGACCGGCTTAGACAAGCCCAAGTTGCAACTAACTCACATAAGCCCAATCACCCTCTCGAGAGATCGCCCATCTTGGCCATCACATAAATTCTCAAATAATGCCCTTTTTATTTATTCTTGTAAAACATTTTTTTTCCTACAAGGCGATATTACTTCTCGTCTCCACCCCTCATCGCCTCGTCGTCCTCATCTCCTCACCTCTTTTCCACTATCCTTGCCTCCCCTTCTCCATCGTCTCTTTTGCCTCTTCCTCTATCATCGTTTACTAACAACCTATCAATGTGTCAACGACAAGGGTGATGGGGCAAAACAAGGCCCTTAGTGACCTCCTTCTCCTCACTCTTGTTCGCCAAGTCCTCACCCCTCCTCTACTGTTACCATCGTGAGAAAGGAGGGCTTCATAGACGTATGGGGGCATGATCATCTTTGATTTTCTTATATCAATGACAACAACATTTCATAAGGTGATGGTGGAGCACTTGTGATCGAAACTTAAGATAGGGTGATGATGGAGCACTTATGATCGGAACTTGAGAAAGATATGTAGAAGAGTAGGAGGTGTCGAAGATGAGTAGAGGTCAAGGATGATGACAACTTTGAGGCTAGTTCGCATAGGCCTAGGCCATGACTTCACCACAATTAGCTCACACAAGCTCAGGCCACGACCGGCTTAGACAAGCCCAAGTTGCAACTAACTCACATAAGCCCAATCACCCTCTCGAGAGATCGCCCATCTTGGCCACCGCAACAATATCGACGAACGAGGAACAAAGATGACGGAGTGAAAGTGGAGGCAATGGATAAGAGCACGACGACAACAACAAACAAGGGACAGAGGCGAGGAATAATAGCAACAACCAATGTGGCGAAGGTCATGAGCAATGTCATCTTTAAATATAAAAAATGCTCTACAAAAATAAATGAAAAAGGGACACTGACTAGGAATTAATGAAAATAAAATATTAAAAAAAATCCAAAAAACAATTTGTCTACCCATGGCTTATTAATCATTGAAATCCTTTGAATGATGGATCACAATTATTGGTGACCAGATAAAAGTAAAGGCTGTCATCCCAATATACTCATTGAGCCCAAAGCCCAAAAGTCCCAGACCAATGGGCCTTTGGGAAGCATCAGAAGAAGACCTCATCACCCGCGCTAAGTTTTCCTACTAAAGCACACGTTATAATTGATATAATCAACCATTTAAGCCAAGAAAAGCTATGCAGGTTGAGAAAGCTATGAATCTATGATGGGATAAACACAAAATCTTCATTTATTGTGAGAAGAATCGACAATATTACTCAGATAAGGAAAGAGCATAGAACAGGAGGACGATATGTATCGATCTAACAAAGCAAATCAAGCATGAGAATTGAATCAACTTACGCCAAAAGGCACCACCAAGCAGATTCACCAAGCTCGGCACACAAACATTTGTAAAAAGTCAGACAAAATAATTCAAAAGCAAATCAAGCATGAGAATTGAATCAACTTACGCCAAAAGGCACCACCAAACAGATTCACCAAGCTCGGCACACAAACATTTGTAAAAAGTCAGACAAAATAATTCAACGGATGATGATGAGGACGTCGGCGATGAGGATTCGAGCAAAACACCCATTTCCTACAAGAAACTTATCACTAGGAATGACGAGTGTCATTTCGGCTTTGTGATAAATAGAAATAACTTTCAAGGCATACAAAAGCCTACGATTACATACACAATGACAAATGAACTGACAAAAAGTGTTGAAACATGCTATGATAGTAACTAAATGGCAGTCAAGACTCGGGCTTCACAATCCTTCAAATATGTCTTAGTTTTCCTTGGGGGTTTCCAAATATAAGCAAAGATTCAAGAGTGCAGATCCCAAAAATACAGAAAATCATCCTCTGGCTATTATTAATTGTTTTACCTTTGTGGTATGTTTGCATACTCAACAGATTGAAGTAATTAAAAGTTTGCTTGGATAACAGATAGCTTGTCTAAAACCATGTAGTATACAAAAAGAAAAAATATTGATGATTTGAGTCTTAAATCTCAACTAAACAGTATGAGATTCATCTATTAGGCAGATAAATGTATAATGAGGAAAATTTTGGTTTAAACATGAATCTAATTATTTAAATTCAGTATCATGCTTGATAATACCAAGTATCCCTCTCTTTCGCCTAGACATGCTTACAACTAGGTAAATGCCAGCTTTAAACCGGACAATAGATCCTATGTACAGAAAAGGAAGAAGAAAAAAAAAACCATAAGTTTTCATTTGTTATGAATGCATTGTATAGACTGCCAAAATTAATCTAATTTTCTTCCATGCTTGATGAACTCAAACTGCAACATTAGTTAAACAAATTCTAGCAAAGTACTTTTTGCAAGTTATAACACTCAAGGGAGCTTTCTAGCTTTGTGTTAGTACATCCAGTATAGTTTCGTTTAACACAACAAAGATTGAGCACAAACAGTGAAACAAGCACATCCAGAAAGACATATAGACCCTTCTAATCGAGGAATACCTAATATGGTCAACAACAACTGTTCTCAGAACAGTTTGATTTGAAGGAGTTTCAATCTTCTGCCAATGTATGTATTTTGCTTTTGGAAATGATCTCCCTTGTTACAGTTTTCGCTGTTGGCTTCATGAGAGCCTCTTGAGATAATCTTCAGAGCAATATATAACAAGTCCCAATAGAGCCTAACTATTTTGAACGTTTCTTTAAAAAGAATGAGCCACAAGATTCATTGATCAGCTCATATTATAGTTTTCTGTCTGTAAATAAGAGCTCATATATCATTGATCAGCTCATAAAAGAATGAGCCACAAGATTCATTGATCAGCCACAAGATTCATTGAGCCACAAGATTCATTGATCAGCCACAAGATTCATTGAGCCACAAGATTCATTGATCAGCTCATATTAGACTCAAACCAGTCAAGAATACCATCTGTCTCAAAACTGGTCATTTCATGCAAAGCAAATGCAAGGTTCAATTCCTCCCCAATGTGATTAAGCAATTCATAGTTTTCTGGGATAATGTTCCTTTGAATAAGAGCTTCCTTCCACTGAGTTTGTCGCCCGTCATTATTCATAAACCCATTTTCATCAATAAATCCCTTCTCAGAAAAAAGATGATACATTTTGACAGACAATGTCTGGTTTATCCCTGGAATCCTGTTCGAGAACAAGTCTGGAGACAAAGGAAACTGCATACACCTAATCTCCTTGACAAGAACGCCATTCTGTCTCAAAGTTTTCATGTTCTTTTGTATCTTTTTCATTGTATTACGGTCCTTAGGCATGTGAACAAAAAGTGTGGGTGGGTAGTCCTTTGGCACACCAGCAGATGCAAATACTCCTTCTGCAATCATAATTGAGAGGCTTCTGAATCTCATCTCAGCAGCAAGCGCAGAAACAAAATACCCACCAGATGAAGCCCCCATGGCCATGATGGGAAGCTTCCCAAGCTTATTCTTTTCGACCCACCATTTGATGATCCACTTGATGGCTTCCGTTTCCTCAAACGACCAGCATCTACCCAAACTAGATATGGTTAGGACAGCAAATTTTCGTTCCAGAGCACGAAGCACAAAGATCCTCTCTTCGGGCAACCCAGTGCAGTTTGGGCAGCCTGGGTACTTGTCCCAGAAGTTGGAAGCTCGGACACCGCAACCATGAGCAATGAAAAGAGCGGCCTTGGGCGAATCGGGGATTTGCCAAATGACATCGGTGCCATTCATGAGCTCCAAAGATGGCCTGAATCGGACAGAAGACTGAAAGCCGGCATTTTTGTGATTCAAAAGATCAGATGAAGGGTTTGGTTTTTCTCTGTTGATCAGAATGCAGGTGACAGCAATTAGGGTTAGTGATGCAAGGGCCACTGCACGCCATTTCTGAGCCCTGTAAAATTGGTTGCTTGAGTTGTGCAATCGACTTGACATCGCTGGCATCATGAAGATTAGCGAAGAATATGTTAATAATCCTATTCACTTGGCATCAGGAAATCAAAGCAAGCATCATTAGAAGGAAATGAGAATCCCTCAGAAGCCTTTCAACGATCAGAAGCATTCACATCAAGGAAAACAAACATGGATTTCGAACAAAGGGGAAGCCTACTGGTTCGCAGTCTAAACCTTAACTCAAATAGATAAGAGCAAAATCTAATCACTATATACTAGTCAAAGATCTCATTCAGGAAGCCAAAAACAGAGAGAAAAAGAGGTATTTTCCAGATCACCGAAACAAATCATACTGCTAAAGAGGTAAAAATGAGATCTGGAGGTTTCTGAAAGAATTGCGACGGCACAAAGGAACTTAATGCATAAAGGACTACAATCTCACCAGTTTCTTCTGGATCTGTCGACGTTGTTAGAGCAAAACCCTTCCTTCGGAGGGGATTTCGATGGTAGCGATGTAGTTCGGGCTGGGCTGAAGGAACGGGCTCGTCGTTCGCCTAATCCACCAGGTTGAAGCAGCAGGGAAGACCGATGAACCGGCTAATGGCTCCAAGAGCAGCTCATACTCAGAGAGGTGGTGTCGTCTTTCTCGCTGCCACGTACGTGGAGCCACCACTCGTACCCTCGACTTATACCCACTTATATTTGACTTACACTAATATTTTGTTATTAAATAGCTTTTTAATTCATTTACTTATTTTTAGAAGAAAAAAAAAGAAGTCATATACATTTTTTACTCTCTTTCGCCATTTTATGAGAGGGTGGAAGGTCGCAACAGAGTAAGCAGAGAGGGTCAAGCGTCCCCCGACGTTCCGGTACCTCCCGCCTCGCTTTTGTCTCCCGGTCGCGCGACTACTGCAAAGCCACCACCTACCTCCCACCCTACCTTCGCCGCGTCTCTGTCGACTCCTCATCGATCACACCTTGCAGCCACCGCACTGTCCCCATGGAAGTGACAGCTACCGCTACCTTCAGCATCAACATGAAAGACAGCGGCCGTAGCAATGGCGGCCAGCACCAGCAGCGTCACCGCCATGGAGGTGGAGGAGGAGGGGGGCCAGCGGTCGCCCCCTTCGTTTTGAAGACTTACTGCATCGTGGAATACGAGCCTCCACCGACGCCGTGATCGCCTGGGGCCGCGACGGCAAGCTTCGCGGTCGTCGACCCCTTCGCCTTCTCGCGGAGCCTCCTCCCGAGAACTTCAGGCACAGCAACTTCTCCAGCTTCGTCCGGCAGCTCAACACTTATGTCAGTATAGCCTTACGCGCCGTATCATGAGGAGGAGGAGTTTGTACTCGCTTGGCCTATGTGTTGTTGAATGCGGGGGTTTCGGAAGGTGGATCTCGGTCGGTGGCAGTTCGCGCACGCCTCGTTCCTGAGAGGACAGACGCATCCGTTAGTGCAGATGGTGCGGAGGAACAGCGGCTGTGGGAAGGAGGAGGAGGATGAGGAGAGGGTGACGGCGGAGTTGGTGAGGCTGATCCAGGAGCAGCGGAGGGTCGAGGAGAGAGTGGAGAGGATGTGGAGGAGAGTGCAGGAGATGGAGGCAGATGCTGGCTTTCCTGGTCAACATGGCTGGGGACTCCAAGCTGCTCGACGTGACCGATGGACGGGAGAAGCGAGCTCGGTTTCGATCGGACGACGACGAGAGGACGGTGGAGATGGAAGATGGAGCTGGTTCTTGGCAGCTCGATGGCCAGGGGGTGGTGGTGGGAGATGGAGTTTGGAGGGGTGGAGAACGGGTGTTATGTTGCACATCAGGTCTCCGGCACATCGATAGCCAGAAGTGTGTCCATTTCACATTTGATTCTCTTCTTCTTGGCGTGTATTTTCTCCCGATATATTTTAATATTAAACTTTAAAATTTTATATTAAAATCTCTATAATTATATAAGTGAAACATAATTTTAACGTCTCAGTTATGTTTTTTGTGGTGACAAACAACGACACCGCTAGGGTCACAGGTAGTTATTATGGATGAAGGAGAGCGATAACGAGAGATGAGGTAAAAGGAGATGAGGAAGAAGACGACGTAGAAGCTAATGCTATGCATCTGCATCGGTATCGCTCGACAGCTACATTGACACCGATACAAATGTAGAACGACGAAAGAGCTACTCAACATCTACATCAACGCTGATTCAGATGCAGAGCAGCACCACCGTTCCCCGTATCATTATTGGTGACAACGCAAATGCAAAGCAACGTCGATTTCTATCTACATCTGTATCGACACCAATATAAATGCTGAGCAACGTTCTACATCTCCATTTGCATCGGCACTGACACAATTGCACAATAGCACCAACGCATATGCAAAGAATCAGCATCTACATCATTCTCATTTTTCTCTCTCTTTGTCTCTCCTCTGGTTACCACTCTCCCTCTTCATCCATAACAATTACTTGTGGCCCCCCAACGATGCAATCGTTTGTCACCGTCGAAAACGTAATTGAAACATTAAGATTATCTTTTAATCATCGTTTTTATGCTTCCATTAGTAAAATCAACACAGTAAATTGAGTTAGATGTTTTAATTTCATAACTATAGAAATTTTAATATAATTTTTTTAAATATAAGAATCGAATAAATCTGTGCTCTTTCATCTTCTTTTTTTACGTTGCAGGACCCATGCAAATAAATCTGTGCAATTTACTGTGTTCTTATGGTACATGTAATTTACCATCTCATCAAAATCAAATGAGGTGTTGCTGCAGCAACACGAGAACCAACCAACATACCTGTATTAGATGTGTACCAGGGAGTTCTGCTACAATGAACTCTTAATAGATTTGAGTTACCTGCATAGTACCTGGACACCACCTAAATAGTATGGTTTTGGAGAGTAGACAGAAAACATAACATTTAGGATAAACAAGCTGGATATCAGAATTATATGGACTACAAAAGAAGCAATTTGCAAGCCAAGAACAGACATGCTTCTACTTGATAGGATAATGTTTTACCACGTATCCAAGAGATGACACAGGGAGGAGTATTCTTTTACCCAATATTCCATCTCATTCTGTGATGTGGCATTTTCTTGTTATGCATTATAGTACAATTGTGTCCATAAAAGAAAAAAACAACTCAGTTAACTTGTTTGATCGAACTACGAAAATTTTCTTGAATTCACCAAATTTTAATATGTTCAAACCTCCATTTCTGGCCCAGGATGTAGACATTCCGACGGAGATAATCTGCAGAGACAATATGAGAAATGCAAATGATACAATTCAATACTTCAGTCAGATCAACTAAGCTTGAAAAATTACATCATAGATAGATCAAATAATCAATTGTTAAAGCTTCTTCCATTAGGCGTTTTGTACTGGACTAGTCTCGAGTATACAGAGGTGCTAGTAGTGTAGTTGAGGTGTTGGATGAATTCATGGGTCAAAACCAGCGAAAAAAAAAGAAGCAATGCAACCTGAAAGAAAATATTTTATCTCATCAAGGAACATTGGTATGTTTAATGAGTGTCTCCTGCTATAGTCAATGAATAACCCAAAATGTTAAGCAGCAAGCTAAACAGGTAATTCATGAAGGAAGATCAATTACCAAAGGTCAGCAAAAACTATTTGTGAAGATACAGACAGGAGGAAGTCGCATTGAGCATAAATGTCATACAGCTGAAATCCAAGAGATGGCAGAGCACTATACCCCAAGAAGACAGTCCAAGTTGTAAGCATGATTTAACTGTAAGCCTTACTTTGTGCATTCATTCGAGAACAAATTATTCCTGGTCATTTGAAGCTGAAAGATCTAATCTATGTGGCGATATATGTATCTGTACTTTGAGTAGACCTAGCTTACTTACTCTCTTAAATTTAGTTCCTCAAAATTTTATCACTATATGCAATCCTCAATATCATCCAAATTTCACAGTTAGCTAATTACTTAATTTAGTGGCATGGAACAATCATCTTCAATAACAGACATGAAAATAATGTTTTTGTTCATTGTACAGCAAGAATCTAAATCTGATTATATAATATGGTCCCTTGAGATCTGATTGATGTAAGAACATTACATCTATGAAACTTTGTATTTTGTCTAGTTTATGCACTGTCCTGCATTTATTTGCTCAAAACTTCTTCACAATTTCCAATTGCTTATCTTTCCATGATATCTCAATTAAACCTAATTCAGAAAGAAAATTTTAAGAATTTTAAAGAGCATAAAACGAGAACTCACAGCAATATCTGTACAGGCCAACCCAACTGCTTCTCTCGTTCTACAGCCTGCAACATTATCTTAATAGATCATATTAAGTTCTTTTATCCTTTGATGATCAAAGAAATAACCAATTTCTCATCTAACAGGCTTAACAAGGATAAATTTAACAGAAAACATGCCTACTAAAACAGGTCAGTCTCATGAGTTATAGTTTTACTTCATGCAACATGTGGCATTTATTTACTCAAATATCATCCCAACAACCCAAGATACGTCAAGGAGAGTGAGCTTTACGTGAATATATGAGGGTGTTTGCGTGATAATTGGGGTCTCTTCATGGGTGAGATTATGAGATTCCGAAGAGTTGCTGTAGGATTCCTCACACCAGCTCCAAAGAGAGACCCTGTCTGCCTTCTAGTTCCAGTATCCACAGGATCTGGTGCTGTTTTTGCTGGTGAGCCTCCTGAAAGATCAAAGGCACTGGAGCTGGAGTTCTTCTGTCTGGTTGAGGGCCATATTTCCTCTCTCTGACCTGGAGTTTCAGGAGTGAAAACCGATCGATCTGCAACATATAAATCATCTAGTCTCTTTTTGGGAGAGCTAAAAAGAAAAGGTCACTTGGTTCTCAGCTTGATCCTAAATAATTGGATGAAACTGTTTAGCATACCATTTTTGAAACTCAAAATGGCAATTTAGAAAAGAAAGATTTTCTTGACATTTATATGAATGCAAATTGCATTAGAAATTCTGCTTCAGATGAAGTGCAACATAGGAATTACCTTGTCCAACGGTAGCTCTACCATCCATCATGTTAGCCATGCTTGAAAATAAGTCTGGCTCAGCTCTAGAAAAGAAGTTTGCTGGTTGGACTGATGAACGCTTCACTGACTCATACTCACTCCTCAACTTGTCATACATCTCATCAAGTTTTCTTTTCTGCCTGGTTTTCAGATAAAGTATTAACATATCTACAAACACATCCACAAAAAACTAAGAGATTAACTTCGTAAGATTCCAGAAGAATAACCTAGATTTTTCAGCGTATTTTTCTTGTAGTTCTTGCTTATCTTTTGATAAGCTTTCAATCTCTTTTTCCATCATCTGGCACTTTTTGGCCATCTTTTGGTATGCAGCATGAACTTGCTCTAGTTTCTCAGTGAACTTTTCATGCAGGGCCTCACATTTCTGACGACACTGACCAATAATCTTGTTCATTTTGTACTGCATCTCTAGTTCCTTTTGTCCATTGTAAAACATTACACTCCTATATGCACTCTTCATAACTGATATATGATCAAGGAGTACAGAAGACCATTGCTATTTATTAAATGTTTCTATAAATTTTGCTTGCATTTTCATCAAAGTCCCCTTCATTTTTGAACAAAAAATTATTTACATCCAGAACAGGCTTAAGACATTTTATACAATTGGATGAGCTTTAGTTCATCAGAGTAGCACACAGAACTTCCAGAACAAATTCGGTTTTAGGCTACTACAAAATAATGTCTGCATATAGGATACGTACTTGTGGAGAAACTCCAGCCATTACCATCTGCAAAAACCATCACGAGAAAAAGTTGTGAAAGAAAAACACAACTTGCACAGTACAATCAATGTAGTAATGCTTACATTTATCCATTCATCACCAGGATTTATATCCACTTGTCTCATAAGGCTGACCCGCAAGGAATAAAAGGAAGAATAAGTATCAGAAGGAAAAGGATAATATCATTGTATTCTCTGATAGTAGAAGTTGGCACCTAGAAAAGAAAAAGCACACCAGCATTCACAGGGAATTGAAATATATATTGAGCACTGAAATGGGAAAACCCTAAGAAATACTTTTAAAGCAGCCAGAAGAAAATTAACATAATCACCAAACCAAAACCTGGCCTTGAGAATAAGTAAATACCTTTTGGAGAGCACTTGATCACATACAGGACAGGCGGCATCATTGCTGATTATCTTGTTCGCGTCTTCAGTGCCTTTATCTATAGTTAAGAATAACATTTGCTGAATCATAAATTATTCTTTACATACTAGGAAAAAGCTTATTTACAACATTATTGCTGATTATCTTGTTCGCATCTTCAGTGCCTTCATCTATAGTTAAGAATAACATTTGCTGAATCATAAATCATTCTTTATGTACTAGGAAAAAGCTTATTTACAACATCATTTGGATACAGAAGAGATGGCCACAGGTGGTTGATACAGCTTGCCCTTCCAATTCTCGCCAACAAGCATTGCACCTCATTTCACTTCTAGATGCATGGATTAGAAGATCTACAATATCTACCACCAGCCACAGGTAAGGCAGAAATTTGACCTGCGAAGGTTTTCCCATTATGTCTGTGGAAATTAGTTATTTTTCTAGCCTGATTATGGACTAGCAAAATTTAGCTAAAGCATAGAACATTCAAACAAAAGCAGAATGCCAGTTAAAAACCAAAACATTGAAGGGCTTTCTAGCCTAGGAAAAACAAGATGAGCCCAGATCATCAGGCTTCAATCATCCAGTTAAAAACAAAAGCAGAATATATAAAAGCTTTTTCTTTTCAGTAAAAAAAAAAAATTGGAATGACACAATGTGTACTCACTTAGATTCTCAGATCACTCTTGGACAACTTTTAGTTGTTCGAATCGATCGCACGGCTCTTCTGAAAAATCCCTGATCGACAAGAATTAAAGTTCAGAATTCCACTGGATGAAATGTAGACATTTTACTCCTGATGCAGAAACAGAATCGTACCAATTGAACGAAACATTTCTGACCCAATCAAAACTCGAGTACAGTTGAAGTTGCAAGCCGAACTCAGAACAAAGCCGGAATTTACTCCTCTACGCTCGGATCTTATCCAGATTACAGAACAACCACCAAAAACAAATAAAAGGTGAGCTTTCTGCAATTGGGGAAAGGTATAGCAGCTCGATCTAATCTTGCGCTTAACCAAATCGAAAGAGGGGTGGCTCAGGGCAATACTTCTTCGAGTTGAGGGCATTGAGGGGAGTCGAGCATGCCGTGTACGGATCCACAAGAGAGAGAATATCAGAAACACCGGAATCTTGTCGGGAGAAAAAAAAAAAGCCCTAGCGCGTCTGTCGTCCGAAGCCGGCTTGAGAAGAAAGCGCGAGGAGAGCGAAGGCCGTGGAAGTGGCGGCAAATGCTCTACTTTCAAAGGCCGCAGTCGGTAGAAAGGGTCAGGATCCCCTCCGAGTATTGCATGGATTCTATCGGATGCATTTTGGCATTTGATTTTTTTTTTTGTCAAATCACATTTGATCTCTGTCTGTGCATTTTCTAGTTGTCCGAGTTGGATAATGATTTTAATTCAATCGAGATATATTCCAAGTCAGTCGTTCTAAGTTACTAAAAACATCAAATTTGTAAAACTAAATCAAGGGCATTATAAAGTTAGTTTTTGTGTTTGGTCTGATCGAACTAGTCGGATCTCGTATTTATAGGAGTATACATGAGGATCATTTTTATAGATGATAGTTCGAAATCACCGACGGTAAAAGGGGAACGCAAGATAGCCTGCCAATCACAAGTTTGGACGATTGATAGTTCAACCACATATCACCCAACAGTGAGTACATATCTAATAATCCAATCATCAACTATCAACCACATGTGATCCCCATGTTTTTTTTTTTAATGAGTGGCCTGTTAGACCATCTGCCCATTGGTCACATGTCATCACATGGTTACAGTATATCTGACGTATCACTCTTTCACTTATCGAGACTGGTATATTGCAAATGCTCAATTACTAATGCTATCTTAAGATAGCGTTAGCATTTTGACGATAATAGCACATAAGACTTCCGTGAGATGCGCTGCATGCGACGATTCTTGGTGAACGATGCACACCTTCGTCACCGTCACCTACCTCGTTGTTTTCCAACGACCGAAGGTGCTCATAACACTTCGACAGAGACCGTCATTTTCTACTGGGCAACTACACGGAGCAGTTATATACGATCACCAGCTAGGCAAGCAAGCAAGGAGTTATGAATACCACTACAGCGTACTGCTCCAAGAAAACAAATCATTACTACCCTACAACGTAAAGGATGATGCGCATATTTCACCCTATAAGATCGCCAAACCATTACATCATCTATCCACTCGGCTTGAAGCACCACCAGCCAGATGCTCAAGCCCCATCGTCTTCAAGATTAACCCTTTCACACTCATCAATCCATTCGCTATATCTGCAAGGCAATCATGGTTCTTGTGAATTTCTAACTCAATGTCTTAGCGAGTTCCAAGGTATACATCATGAGGAATGACTTACATGTCAATAGGCTCAGTCAGTGCTGCAAACAGAAAAAAAAAAAAAGAGGGGTCAAATGAGCATGTTTATTATTCTAATAGCAATAATCCTAAAACAATAACAACTGCAAAATGGTGCATTGCAGTAAATGCTAGGATCCCATGAGTAGACGATGCTCTTGAGACATTATTTACAACAATTAGTTCGGTATCTCATATAAAGCTGACATGGAGATGTATCTTATTATCTACAACAAGAGATTCATAATAAATTTTACATCACGTGACGCAAACTTCCACTTGTTCTTTATGGGACAGGTATAAGGAATATGCCAAAAAAGAGCATCTCAATTATCAAACCCACTGAATGGATCTTGGCAAAAACAACAATCTTGGGGTCTGCTTCAATTATTTCCTGCTAATTAGATAAACGACGAACAAATGTCTAACTACCTGCCCTCACAATTTGCCGCATTAGCAAGCACAAGTCTATATTTTGCTCCTAAGAGGAAGAACAGCTTTTTTTTCTTAGACATTCTATTCCATAACATCACAAATGTCAGTCCCTTGCCCATATGAAAAAGGTGAAAGGTTGCATTAGGTAATTGACAATCAATCTAAAACTATATTAGATCTCATAAACATAGATCTTAAACCGATTTATTGTTTATATATCTTAATGATGACAAAAGATACATGTAACCGACCCCAAATAATTGGGACTTAAAGTTTTGTTGTCGTTGTTATTGTTGTAGACATTCTACCCCATCCGGCACATATACTGCTATGCCCTTCCCCTCCATCTAGTCTTAAGGGCTCCAACAACCTTCAAGGCTGCTCCCAGATCTTTTTAAGTAATGAATCTCATAACAAGTTGTATCTATGAGTTACATACACCCAGAATTTGAGTTCTTAGTACAAGGATACCAACTAAGGTAACTTAATTGAATAGAACATCCTTAGTCCTTGTAACTATAGATGCATGCTCTTGAGCACTGACAACAAATGCCTTAGTTCAGTATGTCCCAGAAATATGTAAATTAACATTTCCTAGTAATATGCTCTTGCTCATATTATCTAGACTAATTTTGCTCATTCCTTCTTCAAACCAGATTAAGGAGTTGATCTATGCTCCCTAGACAACTGATTAACTTTGTGTCTAAGGGTTTAAGTTAATGGATAATCAACAAGCTATTCAAAGCAGACTAAGTTAGATTTGGTTTATCTAAAAAACTTATCATTCCACACAAAGTCTTTGTTTTCTTTGTTTTGGCATCATTTCCTGAAAATACATATAACATTCAAAAAACGCAATGCTTATAACTTTATGATTTATAGACCCAAGTTTCCTTAATTAATGATATTAAAACACACATCTCATCTGCAAAAAACAAGCACCTACATGATGCATAGTTCACAAATTCCATATTGCTTAAGTTATCTACAAAAATTTCCCAATGCATAAAACCAAATTAACAATTTCTGAAAGCAAATGCTAATTAGCATTTATTAAAGACTACTCATGGGTAAAATAAAAAATATGGTGCTAAATATGGTGAATAATAAAGTCTGTATGATGAACATATTTACAAATTTATGATCTGTTAACAGTCATACCAGTGGCAGTAGTGCTAAAGCTTTCTAGACAAATCCTGCATGAGGCTTCACCAATCAAGTTCTTCATGTCACTGCACAAAAAAGACGAGAATGAAAGATGATAATCTACATTCTGCCTAAAAATATGAAGATCAATAGTTTTATGCAGATCCACTCCACGCAATAGTACACTTGCATACGACAAAACAAGCGACTTAACATTGTGATCTCTGCCAAAAGGGCAGATACTTACATGCGACACTCTACGCTACTTCCATGATTGCAGAATGGGCAGCAGAAGACAGCATCAAGCTTGTCCATTCGTTTATTAGGAGCTGGCTTGGTTCTCGACTTCCTCTTCCCCATGAAAGTAATGTTCGATGTTATTTTTCTACGTCAGTAACTGCAATAATTCAGCCAATTTAAATGTTCCTTCATAAGAGAGAGATCAGGAAGAAGCACAAATAGTTCAGGTAAAGAAAAACACTATATGATGTACAATGTGGAGAAAGACAACAAAAAATGCCCCTCAAATGTACCCATAGAATAAAAATACCAAACACTATGTTGTATTACAGGTAAGGCTTAAAAGAGCTCGATGAATAGGAATTAATAAACAACAAACACTTAAATTTAAAAGTTTCTTATGTGCCAATGCCTTTTCTTGTTTAGTGGACTGAGTTTCCAGGAGATGGAACCAAAGTACCAGTTACCAAAGGACAAAAAAAAGCTTATTTATCTGTAAAATTTTTCGTCCTCTACGTTCATCTCTGCTCATGCAACTAAGTGAAAAAAAATGAATAAAAAAAAAGACACATAAAAATGCCACAATTTAATCTTCAAAATTCAAAATATGTAAAAATCATGAGCTAACTAATCACACAGCCAAACCTGAAAAGAAGAGTTCGCAAATGATAACTTAGTATGCAGATGCAGTGTATGACATGATCATGGGTGTGCAAATCATGAATGAAAGTGGGCTAATAAAGGAAATTAGCTACATCGCTAAGCTCATGATAAAACAACAAAGTATAAAGAAATGCACATGACATTAACCACATGGCATGGATTGAGGATAGCAAAGTAGGACATAATGAGTGTTAGATCTTGAATACGCAGAGACTTATGAATACACCTAAAGCCTTATTTTTAAAGCCCACAAATCTTAGGTCTTCATATCACAAGCTTGGCTTTTCTTCCTCCAGCACGTTACCTGGGAGACTTACTCTTAAGGTATGCAGAGAATGCAGCTATAGCTGCCATATACGACAACTACCATTATACTAATGTCGTTTCTTGAAGATGATAGTCTAACATACGATGTATCTAGATTACAACAAAATGTAAGATTTTCGAAACAAAGGCAACATTCTCCTTCAGTCAACAAATGTAAAGTAAGATTCACCAGAAAATAAATAACGATAAACAACTTGTTCTTATAAACAACTCTAATGGTAGAAAGCCCGAACAAAGTCGATCCACATACCCTAATTCGAATCACCAAATCGATGAAAGCGGAAACACTAATTTGGAACTCGAGAGAATAAGCGCTCACGGCGTCAGAACCAAATTCTTAGGCGCGCAACAACGTCGAATTAATCAGGATCAAAAGAATCACAAAGACCGACAACTCTCGCCGATGCTAACTAGTTACACAGGAAACGAAGATCCACAAGCCAAACAAAAGAGGAACACTAGTCACATAAACCGAGGCCGTAATTTCCGCGGACAAATTAGGAACGAACCCTAGAAATCTCCAAAAGAACCAAGAAAAAACGAAGGATAGAAAAATATGACCAGAAGACGAGAATCCGCAAAGAATGGTGTCGGAACCCAGAAGCCCTAACTCGTCTGTCAAGTCGGAGCACAAACCCTAGAATTGCGAACAGAACGGAGAACGAAACGAAGAATCAAAAGCAGTTGGACGAGAGAGAGGGAGAGAGATAGAGAGAAGCGAACAGCACTCACCTCCAACGACCACGGCGTTTTCTTTGATCCTCGAAGACGCGAGGGATCGAAACCTTTGGTTACGTGAACCGAGAGGTTTATATAGGGCAGGACGGTCACGTGGTGGGCTGTGGGTTGGGCTTATTCTTTTAATTCCCATGAATTATGCATGTCATCACTTTGGAATGAAATCAAGAAATATTTCTTTTTATTTTTCCAAATAAAAATTATTCTCTTTTTTTTTCCTTCTCTGTGTCCTGCATAATTAATTAGTCTTCTGAATTTGTATCTATAATGTTCAAGTTTTTCCTTTTTCTTGATTTCGATCCATAATCTATTTAGTGATTGGATTGCATAATAAGAGCAGTATTTAGTGAGTTCACATTGCTATTTATCTATCATGTATTGTAAGTCAAGTGATTACAAAATCAGAGAAATGAGCCACATTAAGATTACTATATGGAGAGATCTGTTTGATATCAAGATATAAATAAGAATCAATTTGCTTCATATGATGATGAATTTTATGAAAGTGACATATTTAAGGAAGTCACACTATTCAATATCTTGTGAACAAAACTAGAGCAACTTGATTACCTACCTAATCTGAGGTGCAGCATAAAAAAAGATAACTCACTTATTTGTACCATGAAAAGGACCAGAGAAATGGAACCCTACATACATGCAAGCAAACTTCACATAGTCCAGTTCAACAGGGGATTCAAAAGAAAAGTGAAACTCACCTAGTAATACTGATTACTACCAGTTTAGATTGCTTCACAAGATAGATGTACATGTCAAAAAGCCTTTATGTTTCTCTTGCTGTATCTTCTAAAAGTTTATACAAAGTCTCCAGGGTTAACTGAGAGCATGCAAGAGAAATTAGACTCATACAAATTTAATTACAATACAAGAAAAATCATACCTTAATAGATTTCATGGCCTTCACTGAGTAAAAAAAAAAAAGACACTAAGATGCTCAGACCTGAAACTACTCCAAGATGTGGATTGGATGCTGAAAGGGTTGGTACAGTAGGGAGAGCTGGTGTCCTGGTTATTTCCACCTTCACAGGCTGATGGTGTCTTTGCCATGTCAAAAAGTAGGTTTTCAGTAGCTCAACAACCCTTCTGCCTGCTACTTTGACTCCATGCCTGCACCTGCTGCAAAATTTGACTTGGACACTTACACTGGCAAAGCATATATCCACTGGTTTCTTGGATCATACATATCAACTCTTGTATGCAAACAGATATGACTTAAATCCTATGATTATTAACAAAACATAGCTAACAAGCTCAACTTTCTTAATTAACAAAACACACAATTTGAATTAAAAGGAGAAATAACAACATCAATGCAACTTGTGGCAGTTTCGCAATTCCATCTCCCATTAGAAAAGGTAGGACAGGTTTGGATCACATATGGAAAGAGAAAATAACTACAGATGCTCACAGGCTTGTACAAATGACACAACAACCACCATAGTAAAAGTGAATTAACTAGAATGTTACTTTGACAGCTTAAAGACAATACTTAAAGAAGATTACAGTAGATCACATACTTTTTCTCTCCCGTACAAATATCTGTCAAGTAGCAATTTTGCCAATGGGCATAAGCTTTGTTTTCAAGTACTTCCACCATAAATAAACTATGTCAATTACCTGAATGTGGGATGGACCGATGGAGGCTATTTAACAGAAAGCATTAGATGATCTTCGGTATCCTCTCTATATATCTATTGAAACAACAGCACATGAAGAATAACGCAAAACTAAAATTCTCCAGTGTATTTACTCTGTTCACATCAATCAGGCATCAGCTCTGGTCCTTGAGCCCCCAAGTGTAAGCTCCAGGTCATCTGATCCACATTCTTCATGGATTCTCTCCCCCTCCCAAGGTTTCACCAATACTGCTTGTAGGTGACCACCATTACTGCTGCTCCCGAATGCAAACTCATCAGAAATGCCATCGGACATCTGAATATCAACACAGCATGGCATACCAGGCATGACAGGGGAGCTGGTCCCACTCTGTCCTGGTGTCCACATTCTTGAAGACCCCCCACCTGAAAAACCTTGTGGGTTTGATGAAACAAGGCTGAAGGTGGGTGATGAAGGAGGCCCTGTGTCAATCTGCAACCCTGCAATCCAACCAGGATCCGGAATGATTTTCCGGCCAGGACTTGGTGGAGTCGAATTTGGCAGGAACGTGTAGCTGGTATTGACCAATGGCAGTCGTGAATTTGGATCATCCCAGTCAGACTTGATTTGTGGTGTACTAGCAGTTGGGGAACTCAGGGGAGGGGTTACAGGAGCACTGATGGAACCACCATGCATGTAGAAAGGATGTTGGTGTAGAATCTTGGATGGACCACTGGAGGAAGCTGATGAAAGATTCTTTAACCAAGGGATGAGGGAGTTTGCATCAGCACCATTGATAGAATTGTTAGCAGTTGCAATGTAGGACGAAGATGCAGGGCTTGCATAGGATGATGAGGCAGGGCTGGGGTTGTAAGATGCACATGGGCTTGGCTGGTTGGAGGAGTATGGGCTAGGTGACGTAGAACCTCCTACTACATCCATATGGTCTGCTGGAGGCTTACACCCCTGCAACAAAAAATGTGAAGTCCACATTTGGAGATTGAACTCTTCCATGAGAAGAGACAGATAAATATTGGATATGGACTGAACATAGCTGTTAATGTCGAAGACGTTAAGACATGCACACATCTATAAGACCTCTATTATGAGATAGGCTCCACATTTTACGAAATACATTGCCATGACTAATGATTTAGAAACTCCTAAAATGATTCCAGATAAATTAAATGAACCATAATTCACAAAAGTTCCTTTGTTCTAGGTTGTGAGAATTTATCACTGAGCTAAAACTCATTAAGTGGTTACAGACAGCAAATAATATTATACTTAATAGATTCTGAAGCACACTCTCCAAAAATGACGGGCATAAACAACTAAATGCAAGAGAGACAAACACAATGGAGTTCCAATAAAAATTATATGTAATAAATAGATTGACAAACAACAACAGGATGACTAGTAGGTGACGAGATAGTTTTTTTATGAGCCCAAGACAAACACTGGTAAGTTTCCTTTCTCCCTTTTCCGGCACTGAAAAACTATCTTCCTTCCATTGGTTTTGTGTGATCTAAATTTGTTGATAAGATACAGAGCAAAATCATACTTGTTTTTTCTTTTTAAAATTCTCAAAAGTCGGTTTCTGCATATTGGAAAAATGATTTTACCAATACATGCGTTATCCAGAACAAAATATAATGTTTATTAAATATGACCTGTATGCTAAAATCGTACTCGAATTAGGCTAGAATCCCCTCCAGTTAGTGTTCCAACCTTCTGATGCCCAAGGGAAGGGGAAAAATGGATCAAGGATTATTCTTTCTCAAGATTCTGGAATGCACCAAATACTCTTACATGACAGGAACTCTCTGCATCATGACAAGTTAAAATTGTGTTCACCAATGACCATTGAGTTGCTGGATCTGGCTCAAGGAACAACAGCTCAGTACTAAATTATCACAATTTATGAGCAATATCACTCTCTGTGGTACTAACAACTTTAGTCTTCAAAACTGTGTAAAATTTGTTAATGTGATGCGGCATGACCAGAAGGATCAAGTGCGGAACTAGCAAAGATATCTCAATATGGTCCAAGTATTGGTAAGTGCTGTCCAAAGGATTTCTTGGGAGATTGGTCACACTAAACTAACAATCAAACTATCCCAATATTGTTGAATTTGAGTGCAACAATCAAACTATCACAGTTAATGATGCCTGTGAGTGTGTGCGTGTATATAGTCCTTGAAAGAAAAATTCTCAGTTTGCATTATGTCTCTGGAAAAGATGAAATTACATTATGCTTTTATCAGCGGTTCATATGTAGTAAATAGCCCTTTTTCGATGGTACAGATCTAAATTTTTCGTTTTTGGGTATTAGATTCTTAGAGATTAAAACGGAAAGAGCAAGATTTGGATGTCATGGTAATCCCAATCGATGCTTCAGGTCACATTTAGCCACCAGAGGCCACGGGGCCGGAGCGCTAGCCTGCCCCGTCGGAAGCCAAGCCGGCGCATCCACAATCCCCATCTTTAGCCGGAACAGCGAGAACGACAGGGACTAAAACCCACGCCCTTCAAACGTGCACCCGTTTCGATTGCTAAATTAGCTGACTAAGAGTCACAAATAAGAAGGGAAGAAAGCAGAAGATCTGGGAAGGGGGGGAGGGGGTCGGACCTTGCGGTAGGTGGTGCCGTCGGGCTCGACGATCCATCCGGCCTCGTCGCAGAGGGCCTTGAGGACCTCATTGTTGTCGCAATGCTTCGGAAGCCGGTAGTTGCCGTACATCCGCAGGCCCGCGTAGATCTTGGCCGCGATCGCCCGCCGCCGCCGCTCCCTCCGGCGGTTGTTCTCCCTCTCCCTCCACGTCGGCATCCTCGACCGGGACGTCATCCCTACTCTTCTCCACTCCCACGATCCAAACTCCAACGCTTCGATCGATCCGCCCCCGGCGCAACACAGCGGACGATCGATCCCCTGATCTCGCCGATCCCGAGCTCCAACGAACAAGAGATCAGATAAAAGAGGAGGAAGCCGGGATCCGAAGGCGGGGTCGAGATGCGGAAGCAAGGCGAAGGAAGAAAACTGGAGGACGAGGAGAAGTCCGACTCCCAGTTCTCCTTCCTCGGGACGCAGTAAATTGCAGGCGCTGCTAATATCCACGCCTCCCTTCCTCCTTAATTACGAACACACCACGGAGTTCCATGCTTGCTTGCTCGAGAGTATGGACGCCGGCCATTACGATTCCCACCCTCATTTCCCACCTGCTATATCATTGGACACCCGACTGAGGACCCGCATGTGGGACCATCTCATTAGCTCGTGGTTGATCAAATCATCTTGCGCGGTTAATAGGAAGCTGAGAAGGCAGGACGGAGAAGAGGGCAGGACGGGAAAGAGGAGGCATCGGTCGTAGCATTTCGCCATCATAGATCTCTGAAAAGAGGAGCTGAGCAACATCAGGTCATCGCTCGTTCCGGTCTACGATGCGCAGCAGAGGACAAGAGCACACAGTGGTACTTTTGCAGAGGAAAGGGAAGGCGCCGCGAGAGCCGTGGTCAAACCGGAGGGCTTTCCCGAACCTCGAGGCCTTGTCGCTCACCCGGTCTCGTCTTCGGCTGGGGTGGATCGGCTCGTCGGAATCCTGGAGTCGTCTGGCCCAGTAGGATCCACAGATACTATTGGACAGCAGTTGTGCCTCGAAAGCATGAAGGCCGGAGGATAGAGACGAAGGAAACGGGACCGGAGCAACGGCTGTCACCACCATCCCCGACGCAAGAACACTTGTTGAATCTACTCGATCCTTAAACTTAGCAGACGCCACGCAGAGACATCTCATTGCAGCATTCCAAGCATGCAGACGTGTAATGGAGTACTCCACTTAAACTTGGATTATGTTGTCTCGGATGGACCTGAGTCAGGATACAAGGTGCACGAGGGGAGTCGTCATCCTCCTCCCACCCATTGCAAGCCAAAACCCTAGCTAGCTTTGTCATTGGTTGCTGAGAATGAGACATTATGAGTTGAGGTTGAGTGGAAGTCAGGCATCGTGCACACTTTGGATGCTGTTTACACATACAGCCGCTTGATGTCACACAAAGCGTGTATGTGTGATTGAAATCACATCACCTCGTGATGCATCAGAATTGATTGGGGTTGGTAGGCAAGCTAACTGATGATGATGATGATATTGACGAGAGGAAGTGGAGGAGGAGGGTTAGGACATGTGGGTTTCTTGATGCGTGCTCGGATCAGATTGACAATTTGAAGTAAGAAATCATGAAGTAGACGACGACTTGGGAGATGAGTCTCCCCTTTCACATCAATTTGCATGATTGATTGATGGGTAAGTGGAAACTGCAGAGAGAAGGGGATGGATGGATGGAGGGGAGGAGGAGACGTTGGTAATAGCATGAGGGACCTCAACATGGTCTTACTTGGAAGGAAGAACCACCGCTTGTCTCTTTGCCACCTACTCTCCGTTATTGTATGATAATAAAGTGTTTTATTTAATTATATATATATATATGTAATTTTAAGTTTATAATTCAATGGAACGAATCATCATCCTTCGACATAAAGAGGAAAGTGATAAATATTTAAACGATAATAGATTCAGTGATAAATCATTCGACTCATTCGGATGTAAATTATGAACATCGAAAGAAAAAAATACCTTTTATTTTTATAATTTTATAATTATATTTTTTTATTGAATATCTCAAATACTTGATAATTAATTATCTATCGTTTTATATTATATTATAATATTTTTTGAGATCATTAAAAATATTATAACTGAATTGAAAAAAATTATGGGGGTATTATAGGTATAAGAAAATAATTATTATTATAAAATTACGAAAATGAGATATATATTTTTTTTTTTTCACTGTATCCAAGATTATAGGAGGTTAAAAAAAAAGTGATATATGAATATGATAATAATAGAAAAATGCTATAAATGTGCGACGCTAATTGGCAATCTCTCCACGCTATTTGTCTTCATCGTGTCACCCTCTCTCCCTCGGCAAGCGGAAAGGGCGAGTAGAACGCACCATCTTCGTCAATATAACGCCACCCAATTGCCTCTTAAACCTTCCTAAAACACATCGACTCCCTTCCCCCCACCCCCCATGGCCTCGTACTGCAAGGAGCGTACATTACCTCTCCTCCTCGTCTTCTTCCTCCTCCTCGCACCGGTCCTGCAGGCCAGACTAGTGCTCCACATGGGGATGGACACGGTTCGACCCTCCAAAGCCGATCCACTGCACCACGTTCTCCCCAGAAGAAGCTCGCCGCCATCTTCCCCAGTCATAAGCGGCCATGGAGCAAACCATAACGTCGTCAAACCCATGCTGGACTCCGTCCCCAGTCCCGGCGTCGGCCATTAGCTGCTTCATCAGATTCTTCTTCTTCTTCTTCTTCTTCTTTCTTGTGGGACAGATTCGAGGACATTCCATTCATAGGTTTTGTAGGACAAGCATAGTTTTCCTTGCATTGGATTGACTCGATGTGATTAAGCACACGCATGCAGAAGAGGGATGAGAAGAAGTGTGTGTGTGTGTGCACGCGTAAGATAATACGATCAACCATTTGTGTCTTCTTGGTGCCATTTTATATATGATATGACATTGTTCATCACAGTTGCGTGCATACATGCATAACCCAAAGCATTCGAGGTGGCAACAATGATTTCATGCCATGGCTGTCCGTTCTACCTAAAAGCGTCTTCTCAGCACAGTTTGACTTGAGCATGACGACGAAGAAGGATCCAATGGCTTATGCAGACTTTCCACATTTTTTGGGGGCGAGCTTTCAATGATGAAAAGAAGATTGATGTGAGCTGTAGGTAAGCTAATTGTCATGTCCTGTACATGAAAGAACTGAACCCTCATCCTAAAACAACAAAGTCAACAAAGCATTAGTCTCTTCAACCACTAATCTATTCTTCCTGTCATCATTGGTGGAAAAATACCAACCATCAGATTCTACCTTCCTTAGATCATGAACGAGAATTAAATTCTTAGAACAGTACGTTGAACTCGTCGAGGATTTGAAGCCATCAAATTCGATTAGGGAGTAAGTTAGGAAAGATAGTGTTTCTTTTAGGTTCGTTTCAAAGTTGTCTCCTTCAAATCATATATGTCTGGTAAAACTTATCACATCAAATTTGATCGAGTGAAGATTCACTTGGAAATTTGATGCAGATGAGTTAACCATATATTTCTCGATATGCAATGCACTCATCCATGATCTAAGCATCAAAGTATTGATGCATTTTAATCGAGTGAAGCATCTCCCTTATGCATTATGCATCTATCCTAAATAAAAAAATCCAAAATGTTTGATACATTCTAACTATTAAATATATCCTTGCATGCAATGCATCCATCTAGTACATAATCATCAAATAATCTTACATCCAAATAAGACTGCATGAGCACAGGATAGACTTACTATCGATGCCAAAACATTTGGAGAGACTGATTAATCTTCTATATGTGATTTTAAAATATGAACTCGATCAACTTTATCATCCTGAATTGATGATCATAATTGACGCTAATCAAAATTACTTAGACAAACGACAATCATTATGACAAAAATATCACATTATGAGAGTATAAATCCAAGTGTATCTGCTCGATTAAATATCCCATATCTGAAACTGAATTAAAACAAATCATCATCATCGCCGTCATTTAAGCTAATCGTGGCGCATTACGCTCGAGCAAGAATAAATACTACCTCTACCCAACAGGCCAACGAGTCCTATTCCTATTTGAGGAATACGCTGGACCCACCCGTGATTCCATAATTGGTTCCAATCACAGAAAGGTATGCGCGCGTGCGAGCAGTCTTCGAGTAGGAGAAGCATTTGGCGTCAATCGCAAGGAGGTAGGTGAGCGTGAGAAGCGTATACGAGTACGACTACTTAAGGCCTCTACCGCTTATATACTTCTCGTCCCCGTGAACGGAACGACCTCGTAGGATTCTGCGGCGCGGCTGCGATCGGAAGGGAAGGAGGAGTCGAAGGCGCCGAGCGATATCGAATCGATGGGGTGCGGCGGTTCCTCGCGGAAGAAAGCCCAAGGTTTGATCTCCTCCACCCCGTATGAGACGTTTATGGTCGCTGTTTTAGGCATCCCTTCTTTTGTATTCTTTCTTGCCCGCGATATAGTCCGGGATCTCCTTCCGATCAATACCGATTGCCGTCGGTGTGAGTCTCGGTGGATCGGTAGGTGGCTGAAGTGATTTCCATCTCGCTCTTGCAACCACTGGAGGAGAGAAGTGGCATTAGCCGCATTCTCAGTTTCACCTACAGAGCGTAGTGCTCTGTCGAGGCCCTAATTTGTTTCATCGCGATTGCTCGATTGAGTGGCAATATCATGCGCTGCTTCTCCTCGTTGGTCATTTGATCGAACGTTTTCGTGGGGCATTCTCATCATGTGTAGCATCCATACAATATATACACTTTTCATCCATTTAAGTCTCGCGTTGTTGTTTTGATTGCTTTGATGTTAAACCCTCGACTTACTGTCAAGGAGATTAGAAAAGATGGGGTTTTGATGGAAGGCCCATCACTGGATGTTGGAGGCGGTTCTCCATGGATCGCACGGCTCCGTTTATTCTCACTGGGAAACATACTAATAGTTCCTCCATATTCACAAAGCAGCAGTGGCGAGTAATGCATGAGGATGAAATCAACAATGCAGCTAGTAAACAATGAGATTATCCCTGTGTTAATCAGGTCCTTAGATGCGTCACTCCAGGTGACGCATGTTAGTTCTCTGAGAATTGGCTATTAACAACCCTCGCTTTGAGACACTTGATGTGATTATGCCAACTATTGGACATTTGCCTGGAGGAACTGTTTTTCTGTAAAATTTAACAGCTGTATTACCATGAACATTCCTCGTGATATATATTTTTAGGCATCGTCATTTGTTATTCCACATGAACACTTATGTTAAGATCTTTGCTTTGTAAACAAAATTACTCTGATTATCCAATACTACTCTGAAAGCAGAGAGCAGAGGGAGAGAAAATCACTGTCTGCTGTTACGGCCTGTTGACAATGAGATTTATTGGAGTACATGACTGCATGTAATTGTTTTTTCTTGGTTGATCTGCATATTCCTAAATCTTCTCCTTGCATATGTTGATTGATGTATTATTGCTTCTCCAAGTCTTGATCCCAAAGGAATTTTGACCATGGTCACATTTTTTTAATTGCTCAGACTTTGAGATTCTTTTTCTTTGCACACTGATAAATTGTGTTACTTATCCTGAATTAGATATTATGTCACAAATAATTGCTTTTTGTCTCCATAATTTCTTATAATCGAAACATTTCAATGGTTATACTTGACAGATATATTAGGACAGATAACTCGGGTTCATTGCTTTGGGTGACCATTTACATCCTTTTGTTATAAGCGGATTTCACTATGTACCAAATATTAATATCCTCTTTGGCCAATACACCGAAAGTTGTTTCAGATAATATCAAATCTTTTTTTTTCTTATTGTATTCTTTGGATGAATATTGTGTGCTTTAATTCTTGCAGAGATAAATAAGAAACTCAAAAAGCCAGAGGCCTGGACGCATGCACAACCATTGACAGAAGCACAGCTTAAAAAAATGCGTGAAGAGTTTTGGGACACTGCCCCTTATTACGGCGGTGAAAAAGGTGCCTATTTTATCTTCCTTGCTTTAAGATCTTATATTAGGTGTTCTTCCATGTTAGTGTCTAGAATAGACTATTAATGTTTCATGAATTTCTTTTCAAAAGATAATCAATGTTTTATAAAATGAATCCATAAAAACATTCCAGGAGACAAGATGGAATATTTTTCCCGTTTACTTTATAATTCCATCACACTTGTGGATGGTCCTTGTAAATGTAAATGAATATTAGAAAATGATTTTATTTTCTATTGTTAAGGTTATATTTAGCACAATCCTGTCTTTTGAAATATCAAGCTACTCTATGCTCTTCTGGTTTTCATTTCTCAATTTCCAATGCATCAAATATGCAAACATATGTTCTTGTCTATCAGGGAAGTATCTTTGATTTGGACCTTGACTGAAAGTTTTCAAAAACCATCTCTCTTTCATTCTGCATTGAAATGTCATAGGTCCTTACCAATTAGAAATTACTAACGTTGTCACTATTTTTGTGCAATGATAGAGATTTGGGATGCCCTTCGAGCTGCAGCAGAAAGTGATCTAAAATTTGCACAAACAATAGTTGACAGTGCAGGAATTGTTGTTACGAGTGCTGACATGACAACCTGTTATGATGAGAGAGGTTGGTAGTATGTATTCTTCACATTTTTCTTTCTTTCTTCCAGAGTGCTAAAACTGATGCATCAAATTGTCTCTCAGGTGCAAAATATGAACTTCCCAAGTTTGTTCTGAGCGAGCCAATCAATCTTATTCGAGATAGTTGATTATTCAGTATGGAAGAGCTCAAGCATATAAAAGTTACCGTACATCCCTTAGATTAGTCTCTCTACATATTTACTGGAAGTAAAATTGCAGCTTCCATAGTGAGATTTGACATTAATATGTTTAAACCTTAGCCCCTGTTGGGATAAAAAGAAGTCACCAAATTGATGAAGATGCTTTACTTTTTTCTTATATCAATTTTCTATTTCTCTCGGGCTATTTTCTGTGTTATGAATGTGCTACTGTGGTTTACTTATAATATCTTCAACATCCCACAAAACTGTTCAAATTGACTGATTGACACTGGTCAAGTATTTTGTAGTGATATTTAAATCTCTCGTTAAATAGTTTTGACATAAATAAGATCTTGAAAAAAGTTGTCTGGTTCCCTGTGCATCTTATTTCAACATTACACCAACATTAAGAGGGTTAGTGCAAAGTGAAGCTTGTTGTCTTTCGTTCTTGTATTCATAGCAGAGAGGAAGGTGGCTGGTTGTTGCATTGCATGATACTTTTAGCAGTTTTTATACCAAAAAAAAACTTGTCAGTAGCAATGAAATTTATTCTCTTTAGGACTCCCTGAATGCCTGAGAAACATCTTTATGGTGATGATTAATTGCAATTGATTACCAAAAAGATACATTTATACTTATTCCCTCTTTTGTTGTATGCTTGCTATTCTTTCTTTCTTTTGCACAAATGGGTTGTTGGAATAAGCCTTTTGGCTTTTAAAAGTTATTCTAGATGTCCCAAACTAAGAACATATAGGTTACTGTTAAATGATGTTTGCCTATAAAGGTTTCTAGCTCTCGGGTGCTGGATATAATTCCATTGGACACTTTTGTTCTTTTTGTTCATCGTGACTGTTATATCTATTGCTGCAGAATTATCATGCAATTAATCTTCTTTATCTGTATCCATTGTTTTTGTATTGCTTTTGTGGTCAACACATTAGGTTGTCAAAATCAGGTCACAGTGTTGCCAAGCTACTGTCATTAATTCATTATTTGCTTATGTTCTTTGCTAATTGTATTCTATTATTCATGTTTGTGGTGAACAGGTGTAAGTTTCAATATGTTACAGATTTCTATCTACAGATTTCACATTTTCTTGCCTTACTTTGTGCATCTGTTGGTGCATTATTTCTCTTTTATAAACAGTGTTTTTAAAATGTATGGACTACAAGATTACAGTTAAAATCCTGTTCATTTCTCCAACTAGCAAAAGTTGGAAAAGACATCAGCTAGGGTTCCTTCCTATCAGAATAATTTGTACTTGACCTCCTATTTAGATGCTTTTATTGGGTTAATCTTTGAGGATCACTACAAAAGCACATTGATTTCTGTCACTGGTAATGCACATCTGAATTCCAAAGTGAAGGTGCAATTTGGTACTTATGTTGTTGAGATTTTTTGTTTTGGCTGGTGCATATTTAGGTAGACAAATATTCTCTACAACTTGCACCAGAACAGAAGAACTCCATTGTCTTGACTTGTGGGAGTTCTTGAGCCAGAGAATGACCTATTTTGTTCTTGTCCTAGTTGGACGGTGATAGTGTGAATTATAATTCCTAACATTGTTGCATTAATACTTGGATTTCTAACATGATTGGAGCTGAGATCACTCCATGGCTATCCATGGATCAAACCAACAGCATAGCCAACGCAGATGTCACTTACAAGCCTTGTCCCTACTCCTCCCACCAAATCTTCACCTGCCTTGTTGGACTCATTCCATGCCTCTCGCCATTTCATGGCGTCTGGTCTCGAGGACTTTTCCTCTAGCAAGCAATGTTACACAGTGTGGTGGGCGTGGAAGGTCGGCCGCATGACCTTTCCTTCATTCTTAGCTCTTAATCCCATGAATCTAATCGAAGGCAGGCGTGGCTTTTGTGACCGGCCGTCGAGTTTGACGTAAGACTCTTTATCAGTATACTTCTCTCCGCCTCCTCTGACGTGTGGCCGACGCAGTGCGTCGACTAGCTTCCAGTTGGCGCTATTTGAATCGGCAATCTGTGTCTGAAATGTGACTTAGAATACCTAAACTACTCCTCCATGCATTCCTCCGTAAGCATATATAACGTGGAAATTTGTCAGATGTGAATTAGAATACCGAATGTGCCCTTTATAGGCCCTTCTTTATTTCCTCGGCGAGGAAATCAACCCCGCGCGCTTGTCGATCGAGAACCCTAAGAGCCTTCGGCACCCCTAATCGTGAGGATATCCGAGCGATGACCTCCCCGCTCGCGTTCCTCTACGTCCGGCGCCGGCGGTCGCCCCTCGCCGGAGCGTTCTTCGCCCCCGGGGACCTGTCCGGCGCCGCCCTCCTCCACGCCCTCGCCGCGCTCTCCGCCGATGTCGCCTGCTGGCCTGCCCGGTCCCAGCGCCGTAACTGCCGGTCCCTCGCCCGCGTGCTCGGGATCCTCGCCATCCTCTTCGATTCCCTTAAGGAATCCTTCGCCCCCTCGCCCTTCTCCCCCCTCCCGCCGCGGTCCCCCCCCTCGGCGGTGCTGTGCCTCCGGGAGCTCTACATCTTTGTCTACAGAGCCAAGCTCCTCCTGGAGTACTGCTCCCAGTCGAGCCGGCTCTGGCTTTTGATACGGAGCCCCCAGATCTCGGGCTACTTCCACGACCTCTCCCAGGAGCTGGCCACGCTGCTCGAAGTCCTCCCCGTTGACGACCTCCGCCTCGCCGCCGACGTCCGCGAGCAGATCGAGCTCCTCCGACGGCAGTGCCGGCGATCCAAGCTCTGCCTCGACCCCAACGAGGAGGATCTCCGACAAAAGATCCAATCTTTCTTGGGTCAGTTCGAGACCAGGAAGGCACCGGATCCTGTGGAGCTTCGGAACACTTTCTTCGACCGGCTGGAAATCCGTGACGCCAGGGCTTGCCGGAAGGAGATCGAATTCCTGGAAGAACACATCTTTAATCAGGAAGAAGACGTCGATACGTCCGTCATCAGCGGGGTAATTGCGCTCACGCGGTATTGCAGATTCTTGCTGTTTGGATTCCAAGAAATGGAGGTCGCGAGGCCCTTCAGCGACCAGGGTAAGATATCGAGGAAGCGATTGGTGAGTCAGGGGAGCAGTGTGAGCCAGGGGAGCGGCGATTTCTCGCTGACGATCCCCAAGGACTTCTGCTGCCCGATCTCGCTCGATCTGATGAAAGAACCGGTGGTCGTCTCTACTGGTCAGACGTACGATCGTGCTTCCATCACTCAGTGGATCGAAGAAGGGCATCGCACGTGCCCTAACTCAGGCCAAACTCTTTCGAACAATCGCCTTATCCCGAACAGAGCTCTTAGAAGCTTGATCTCCCAGTGGTGTGCCGCTTACGGAATCCCACACGAAACCCCCGATGGCGCTGATGCTTCGGCTGAGAGCATCGTGGCAGCATGCACTAGCAAGGCGGCAACTGAAGCAAACAGAGCCACCGCAAGAATCTTAGTGCAGCAGCTGTCGGTCGGTTCGCAGGAATCGAAGGCCGTCGCTGCCCGCGAGCTCCGGCTGCTGGCGAAGACCGGGAGGGAGAACAGGTCTTTCATTGCGGAGGCAGGGGCCATCCCCCTTCTCTGCCGCCTCTTCCGGTCGACGAACCTGATGGCCCAACAGAACGCGGTGACCGCGATGCTAAACATATCCATTCACGACGACAACAAGAGCCGGATCGTGGAGGAGGAAGGATGCCTGAGATTGATCGTTCACGTTCTGAGGCATGGGTTGACCGGCGAGGCAAGGGAGAACGCGGCGGCCACATTGTTCAGCCTGTCTGCCGTGCACGACTTCAAGAAAACGATCGTGGACGAGGAGGGTGCTGTGGTCGGACTGGCCAATTTGCTGATGCAGGGAAGCCAAAGAGGGAAGAAGGATGCAGTGATGGCGCTGTTCAATCTTTCGACTCACTTGGACACCTGGTCTCGGATGCTGGAATTGGGGGCGGTGTCGGCGCTGCTCGAAGCACTGAAAGACGAAAGCGTCGCCGAAGAGGCCTTAGGAGCTTTGGCATTGCTCATGAGGCAGCCGGTGGTGGCACAGGCAGTCGGGAGTGAGGACGCTGCGATCGCCAGCCTGTTGGAGATGATGAGGAGGGGAACCCCAAAGAGGAAGGAGAACGCGGTGGCAGCGCTGCATGAGATGTGCCAGCGTGGTGGTCTGCCTGTGACGCAGAAGGTGGCCAAGACGCCGATGTTGGGCGGGTTGATCCAGACCATCCTGTTCACGGGGACGAAAAGGGCCAGAAGAAAGGCGGCGTTGCTTGCTAGGATGTGCCAGAGGTGTGACTCGCCGGCGGCCATGGTATATGGGAATGAATGGAGTCCGAGCCGCGCGTTGGCGAGAAGCAGCTCCTCGAGAGGTTCGAGCTTCCGAAGCGGGGATGTGTCGGTTTCCATGTCCAGGGCTGTTCGAGTACCTGTGCTATAGCTTGGATGCTAGTAATGCGGTTTCCATGTACATCGTTCCTGTAAGTTCATTGGAAGAATTGTTGAAAGAAGATGAATCAAAATACTGTTCTACACAACACATGAACTATAAATTATGTTGAAATGATCTGAAACAGAGCTCACAAGCCCGCTGGTGGATTACTGTGCTGTTCACCGGTGTGATAGCAGGAAAGGAGGAGCGGACATCGGTCGCTGTTCGTTTCCGAACTGCTTTTTACCAAAACACCCCCCACCCAAACCCCACATCACGTGACAATCACGTGCGGTTTAATTGGATGCTATAAATCGACTATAGGCTGTCTCCCTTGCGGATAGGGACGATTACTTTTGCCGGGGGGAGATGATGACGCAGGCGCTCCTCTTCCCAAACGGCAGCCTCCGCTCGCCGGCCGCTTTCTTTCCGCCGCCTCTGAAGCTTGGGCATCCCAGATCGATCTACGGGGCAGGTAAAGCCCTGTGTTCCACCACCCTGTTTGCGCTGCTCCTGTGTCGTCTGCTGCTGAGATTGTTCCTTTCGTTAAAGGAAAGGAACATAAACAAGAACTACCATCAGCAGGATGGCGCTATCGTTGTGGATTCTGGATTGTTGATGCTTTAGCATAGTCTAGTTGTGATGACCATGCAAATCGAACCGTGTTCCTACTGATTTCAACTTCCAAATTGCAACATGTTTGCTTTCTTCATGGTGTGTGACATGATAAGTGGCAGAATGCAGGCACCGATCCGAGCCTCCCTCTTCTATGCAATGACCAAATGGAATAGCTTGGATTTGGGGTTGTAAGGGGAAGTGGATCAACGATGGGGTTAAAATGGGCACCCTTGCAATCATGAAATTTGTGTGTGTGTGTGGAAGCCCAAATCAGGAATACTTCTTCATGATAATAGTAGGACCGCAAAGGACCTCCGTAGATAACATTAGAGGAGCATCTATGAAGAGGAAAAAAATGCTGCTTAATTAGGAAGAATGACCTGCCCAACTAGTAGTCTTCATGGGGGCAACGTTTGACTGTTGGTTCCACCATCATTTTCTTGCCAAATTATGAATCACCTTCGCTTCTCATGCTATCCTATTATGATGAATGGGTAAAGGATACTATTAAATTGGTGCATAACATTTAGTACATTTTTATTTAGATGTCTGGTGCAGTATCGGAAACTAAATTTGTTACACACATCTTAAAGTCTGTAACCTTTAGGTTGTCAGCAGAATGCCTTGTTCATGCTTGAAAAAGATTTAGCTATGTTACTTGCAACTGAGTATCACCTTTTGATGCAGCTTATTGAACTTGGCAGAGATTACAGATGCCGTTCTACACAATGCATCTCAAAGTGGCACATCTCGATTTCCCATATTGAGTATTAGATCTGAAGGAAATGGAGGAGGACGTCCTCGGAAAGACACATCTCCTAATAAGACTAGGAAAGAGGCTGATAGGTTGAAGGACCCACCAACATCAAATGTTGAGTCATCAAATGCTGCTAGTCAGGATGAGATAATCGCTTTGTTCAAAAGGATACAGACTTCGATCTCGAAAGGTAGACCAGCTACTCCGAGAAGGAGAAACCTCAAAAGTCAAAAGGAGAAGAAAACTGGTGAACCAATTCCAAAGGATTTCAAACAGGAACAAGTAAGAGGTATGTAAATGCAGAATCATGTGTACTTTACCTTTGATTTTAAATATACGAGTTACTTATTGGCATTCTCATACATTTAAGTTCTTCACGTTGCGTAAAATTATGGAGTTGAATAGTGATGATTTCATATTCACCAAACCTAAATTTCCTATTAGGTGTTGTAAACTTGTTTCCTTCGCCATAGCTGGGAGGCGGCTAAACAGTTCTACAATGAGGATCTTATGTATCATGCATTTCCTGCTATTTTTACTGTTTATTCTTTGTTTGTGTCAACCCAAACTTTTTAAATTTTGATTTACGTGGATTAAGTTGCAAGAAAAGATGATGGTGCGCCACTGTCGGAAAAGAGTAGGCTGTTGGAAGGTTAAACATCCAATAATAATGTGTTCTCTGATGATGCAGAAGTTGCAAGACCAGTCTCAAAATTTGTGAAGAAGTCACCTATCCCATCACCTTCATTGGTACAAGATGATAAGGAGGTAGCTGAGGAACAACAGCAATCAGTAATGAGTAACAAAGTGGCCGACAAACAACAGCAGCAGGCACTAACTACAGATAGAGAATCCAATGTGCAGAATCTAGATGAATTGAAGCTCCCCGAGTTGAAAGAACTTGCAAAAAGGAGGGGAATAAAAGGTTACTCAAAGCTGAAGAAAGGAGAAGTGTTACAACTTTTGAAGGGGCTGTCAGAATCCACATGATGATTTGGAAGCTTCACAAGGACAAGGAGATTTGATGCTAAAGAATCCAAAGATCTTTCAACTGACATAGCTGTTGATTCTTTCAGTTTCTTTACGAGGAATTAGTCTTTTGGTTCATGTGGCTTCATTAGTTTCTTGTTTGACTTGGTTAAATTTAGGTGTCTTTCTTCTCAGTTTCAGTGATTCTTTCTTTGATGTCTTATGTTTTGTTTGAATCAAACAAAGATCTCTCTTTGAACTGGATTGGTTAATGGTTCTTTGTTAATGAGCCACCTTCTGTGACAAGCCCTGTCAAGGATCGTTAACGACTGTTAAATACTATACTTGATATTTTGATGCGTCTCTATTTCTGTCTAATGATCAGATTTGTTGTGAGGAATAGAGAGATATTAATGATATCTGGATTGATTCAACTTGTTTGAGCCTGCACAAGAAACTCAAGTAGAGTCGAGAGGGTCTCTTCGATGCTCTAATTGACCTGAGAATGGAAAGTAAAAATTTTAAGTTAAGTCAATTAATGATGAATTATTTTAGGATTTCACGTTGGGTCGAGGCTTAGATGACTCGATTAATGTGATCCGACCCTCGATCATCTCGATCTAATATGATGTACGCTTACATCATACATAGGAGAGGATCCTTTTTTCCCCGATGTGGCATTTTCGTTATTTCAAGCTGCCGTCACGAGCAAACGAGAATTCTAAATAGAATCAGGGTTTCATTCGATCCTCCGCTGAAGCGAGCCGCAGCTGTTCGACTCCTACGCTCGCCCCCGTCTTCGATCTCTCTCTCTCTCTCGCGATGGTTGTCGTCACCCCTCATTCTTTCCTTTCCCCCTTCTCCGTTCCCTCCTCTGAATGAATCTTTCTTTTTTTCTCCTCCTCCGATCGCAGGGTTCCGAGAAGAAGCTGTCGAACCGGATGCGGGATATCAAGGGCCAGAACCTCGTCCGCAACGTCTCTGTGGCAGAGAGTCGCGATCGCTTCACTAGAGCAGCTAAGGTATGGTCGGAGTCATTTCCTATTTCTATTATGCACTTTATATACGGGTTGATATTTGGTTTCCTTGTCCCAAGTTCTTATTTTGATCGCCCGATTATGTTTTCTACATGGTATGAGGTGAAACCATGCATGATTTGAAATCAATGCTGAAAGTTTTCATCTTTGCGCTTATATGATTTCTTATCCCTCTGACTCTAGCCTTGGATGACCTTGTGAATCTGCTTTCTGGGTGCAACATCAACATAATGAACAATTTATTTGTTTATTGGAAAGTCTCAGCTGCGTTTGTAACTCTTATAGTTATGTAAATGATTGCTTACTGCACCAGGACGCGTGTTTGCTCATATCCTCGTTTCTCAAGTTCATCAGATAAACTAGTCCTAATTGGTAGTTGATCTTTCTCATATGTGTTGCATTATTGATTCCTTTAACTTCATAGTTATAAGAATGCAAGGTTTTGCTTTTCTTAATTTGCAGGTTGTATTGAGTTTATTAGTTGTATCTCCTGTTTCCGCAGCCAATGTAGGTTCTAGAGCAGTTGAGCGGGCAGACACCAGTTTTCTCAAAGGGTACCATTGTTGTTACACACAACAAGTGTCTTAGATGAATAATTTTGAGATTCTTTGTTGATATGCCGACTCCTATGGCTGATACAATTTGGCACCGAGTTACACTGTCCGGTTGTTTGGTATCAAGCGTAATGAGAAGATTGCATGCTATGTCACAGTCAGAGGTGACTAGGCCATGCAACTTCTGTTGAGCAGACTGAAAGTGAAAGAATATGAGCTGTTGGGGAGAAACTTCAGCAATACTGGTTGCTTTGAACACATTGATCTTGGGATTAAGTAAGCGATTTTGTTTAGTTGTATTGCTAGTTTTTCTTGGATACCAAAGTATATACTCTAGAAAAATCTGAACCTGTGTTTTAGTATCCATATTAACATTTATGATTCTGTCAGAGTTATTAGCTGTCGTTGGAACATGTCTAAGTGTATTATTCTTACCATTAGGGTATAAATAAGATGTTGGGGAATGTGATCAATGTAAATTCCAACTCTGGAAAGCAAGCATAGGCAATCTACATGCAGCTTAGTCAGTGTTTATGTATGTCTATTGTGACTGTTAGGTGGCTGGCTTGGAGAATACTTGATAGCACATCTTGTTATCCACTGTCCAATATGGACCTAGTTCCTTAAATATCATAGCTAAGGGCACATGTCAAATTAGAGTTGTTGCAAAAACACACGATTACAGTTTCATCAAGTTTGATATGTTACTAGTCCTTGAATAATTTGGTTTGGCATGACCATCAGTTGAACTCTTTGATATGTTAAAGGATCAATTCATTTTTTTTAAAATATTCATGTTTGCTTATTAGTCCTTCTCACTGAATGAGATGTTATTTTACAGATCTGATCCTTCAACTGGTATCTATGGCATGGATTTCTATGTCGTCTTGGAGCGAGCTGGCTGTCGTGTGAGCCATTAACACCGATGCAGCATCACCAAGGAGGACGCAATGAAGTGGTTCCAAGTGAAATATGAGGGTGTCATCTCCAACAAGGTTCAGGCAGTCACAGGTCCTTGGAGTTTGGTATGACTAACCCTGAAAGTTGTTCTACAGATAAATTAGCGCTTGTCTTCTTTTTTCTCTTCATCAGAGTTTTTTTTTTTACACAAAAAAGAAATAAGCTACTGTTCCAATTTTGTGTGACAAAGAAATTTGTGCTTTTAGCAGTTGGAGATGTTATTTTGTTGCTAGTGTATGACTTCATTATATATCTGCAGTCTTTGCATGCCTCACAACAAGATGGATAAAGTAATTTCCAGACTATAAAATCTTTTTAGATACACTATAGAGATTGGTAGATGATGTTTTTAGTAGGCAACATCAGTATGACACTTAGGTTACATTAGGAGGATCTTTGAATACATAATTGCTTGTGTTTCCAAGCATTTAAGAGGTGCATATCTTAAATTAGGGTTCCTTGACATGGGAATAAAATGAGGATAATTACATAGTCAACTCAAGGGCCAAGATTTTAGGTGAGAATTGCTTCATGAATAATTTTGGAAGATTTCTTTTTTTTTTCTGTTGCCAATGTTGATGAGTATTCCAACAACCAAGAAATTTTAAAATATTCTGTCATCTTTGTGTTGCCATGGAAAGTCATGATATCTGATTCAAGAGATATGTTCCTCAAAAAGGACTACATGAATGAGTAATGGATTTCATCAGATTTTGTTGCTTTTCAAAGTAGAAAGGAACAGAAATTTTGTTTAGAGACTTTATTTGCAAGTGGTATGTATGTATGTATAGAGAGAGAGAGAGAGAGAGAGAGAGAGAGAGAGCACCTA